AGCAGGATTTGTGGATGGTTATGTATTTTGTAGAAAAACCCAGCTCCTAAAGGCTGAGACTGTTTTTGGTCTATTAAAAAATCTTATATTGCTCATTAGCTAGGGAACCAGGGAAAATAGTACTGTAAACCCAGTACCAGTGAAATTGTATCTTATGGGAACAAACTGTATCTTTATCTATTGCTGGTTTTAGAAAAAGTAGAAAAGTTAGTTTTTTTAGAAAAAAGTTTCTTATTCTGCTGGCTGCAACTAATGAGGATGATTGTTCATTTGAAATAACTGAAATGAGTTGCTGTCTGCTTCCTCGTACTACTGACAAAAATATGTCTTTCAGCACTGTTTTCCAAGATAATTTTCCTATTCATCTCCTCTAAATCAGCGTGTTCCTGCTAAAAACCTGCTGAATGCCTTTACACCAGACTGACCACAAGGTGTGCAGGCTTCAGATTATCATCTGCGCTGCATTTTCTGTTCCTCAGAGAGTTGTTGAAATAGCAGTGTAGAAATTTCTGTACTGGTTAAAGCCATACTTGATGTAAAATGTAGGATATTCAGGCTTTTTGCATTTTTTATTATTATTTTCTTCCAAAGGTAATCCTAGACATTAGTCTTGTTTAAGACATCTCTTTTTGGGGGTATGGTTCAATCTTCAAGCCAGTGCAGTTTTTAGTGCATAAATTTGTTTGGCAGTGCGTATTAGCTTATTGAGCTTATTTCTGTCTGCTTACCTAGAATTTCTATTGTCTTTTGTATTCTGTCTACTTACCTACACTTTGTATTCTTCTATTTGTGGCTCAACCCCACAGCTTAGCTCTATACTGGGTTTTTAATGAATATTTCTTTTATTTGGGTGATGTATTGGGTCACTACCATAACACTGTGAAGTGGCGGTTGAATTGTGTGCAGGGAGAATTCACCCAGCCTCAAGACCAGGTGTTACGTAGACAGAGGCTCTTTTCTCTTTTATATTTAATTGGTTTCTCCCGTGTTACAGGGTGCATTTTCCTGTTGGTGAACATTTTCAGTCTTGAGTCACTTTTAAAACTGGTTAATTAATGTGTTAGTACACTATGTATACACTCAGTCTCTTTTTTCTTGTACTGTCTTCGGTTCCTGCTATGCACCTTCACGTAGAGTATTTGCGTATTTCTTGGTTTGCCTGTTCTATATACATTACTGGTGTTTTTTATGTACACACTGATTTTGAAGTAGACTGTGGACACGTTCCTCATTAGTCTATTTTCTAACTAGTCCTAATTCATTCATTCAAGTACTTGCTTATTAAAGTTGCACAACTAAAATAATAAGCTTGTTATTTTTCAGGTCTTCCTATCATTGCATTGGCCTTACTCTTTCTGATTGCTTTCTTCTTCTGTATGCTATAGCAACCTGTACTTGTGATTTATTATTTTTTTAATTTTTTTTTTTTTGCAAGCATAACAGCAGCTGAGGAAGGATGTACCAGTTGGGCAATGCAGATGAATGGGACTCTGTAATTCTAGTCAAGAACATAGTATTTGATGTCAGTGTACTAAAGTTTTGGTTTTAATATAAGGTTTACTAATGAATTCCCACAAGAATTTGGGAATGGGCAGGGAATGTCTGAAGAAAGATAGTTTGTTGGGCTGATGTACAAACATAGGTGACTACACAGTAAATGGTAACCCATAGTAAATACATGCTGGTAATACATTTGTGTTATTTTTAGATTCACAGTATGGGTAATAATTCTCTAGTTTAATAAAATGTTTAAGTGTGGCCACTAAGTAGTCAAGGTAACTTTCAGTATTGTTATGGAAACTGCATGGAAATGGCTTCTTATGCTGATGTTTTATTCATTTGTTAGTTGAGTGCAAGGTTTCTTTAGTATGTTATCAAATCCTAATGCAGTGCTCATCTAGGAGGGAATTTATTACTTTTATAAGATAGGAACAGACAGCTGGGAATATTAAACCTTCATATCTGGCTCAAGGACTGAAATGAAATCATTTTATTCTGCCCAGAATGCTGAACATTTGTCCTTAAAGAAAGCCCATGATGGCTTTCCCTGTTCGGTTCTGAGTATATGCTCAGAACTTAAGACATTATATTGTGAATGTTCATTTAACTGGAAATGATTGCTGGCATCTTCTTAATGTTCTGAGCCACGATGTCCCTTTTACTTGAAGCTGCATGAATTTATTGAATTTAAACATTTGGGCAGGTGTCATACCAAACTTTCCAAAACAAACCATCTTTGCTGGGTGGCCAATAAATTTGATCGTTTTCACGTCAGGTGTTATTTCTCTCCTTAAGGAATCAGATTTATGCTGAAAATTTCTTACAAGTCCTAATCCCATTGGCATATCTAAGATAATATAATAATTATCTAAGAAGTAAATATTGATAAAAGTTATTAAAATATATAAAAACTGATATGCCCAACCTTTTAAATAATTTTTCTTTTCTTGTGGAGGATATTTTCTTGTCCTTTCAGGGGAAAGGATATGCATACCATGTACTTTGGCCTGGAGTCAGTGAAGATGGTTGTTTTTGTAATGCAAATACCTTCTTTCTGGGAAGTGACTTTTTGTTTTAAATTGCCTTCTCTCTTCCTGGGGCCAGTTGTTCAAACCAGCTTGAGATGAATGTCCCACTTGACGCGTACAAACCTCAAGCATTTAAAAATTACAAATGTGGAACTGTATTTACCTTTGGAGATGATAAAAGGGAGTTCCTCACTTGGAATTTATGATATGTTGAAAGATGCTTTTTTGTAAACTTCTGAACAAATGAGCATGTACAATCTCCAAAAGCTTTGTTAATGTAGTGTGCACAAAGCATAGTTTCACCTAACATGATATGAAAGTAAGAGACTTAACTAATATGGTCCAGTTTAAAACAAAAAGCCTATTTATGGAACAGATTTTTTTTTTTTTTTTTTCAGTCTTCACAGTATAAGGTGCTACTTGCATCAACATCTGGATTTCCTAATTTATGGGAATTAAGGATTTATTTTCTTTAGTCAAGAAACCTTGTCTGAAAAGCATAGCTCTTGGACAAAATTGGATGTATTTAATTATATATTGCAACATATTAAAGCAGACAGGAGTTGTGTGGTCTGTTTTAAGTGTTAACAGACACTGTGATTCCAACCAGCCATTGTTCCTCTGCTGTGGGAATTACCACCACTGGACTACTTTTACAAATTGCTCCGATGTGACACATATTTCAGTTACCGCTGATAAGATGTTCTGTTTAAATAGGTTATTACAGGATCAGTGCCTTTACCGTTAGGGCTTAGTTTGAGATATCCTGGGGAATACTTGTGCTATTGATGCTTTTTACAGGTTTGGATTTTTATTTCGTTTAGCTGCTCACGTTTCTCACCTGGAGAATGTGTCTGAAGAAGAAATGAATAGGCTCCTGGGGATCGTATTGGATGTGGAGTATCTGTTCACCTGTGTCCACAAGGAAGAAGATGCAGACACCAAACAAGTTTATTTCTACCTGTTCAAAGTAAGCTGAACTTGTGTAGTATCTTCTCAGGTTTTTCACTCTCTCACATAGGCCAATTTCACTGCCCCTCATGCATGTACTGACTTCATCTGGTGAGATGTTTCCCTTTTCTGGTGTGATGCTCTAGTGTGAGCTAGGCATTGTACCGTGCCTTATTCCAAAAGACATCCAGATGGTTCAGGAGCTGACCCTGAGTCCCGTCCATAAACTGTGCATGCAACCACCTGCAAGCCTTACCCTCTTCACTTACACGTGGGGAAAACTCAGTTGACAGAGATGCTAGCTTAGCTGCCCACACGTGCTCAGAGAGGCCTCTTGGATGCATCTCAGAGAAGACAGTGAGCAATTCACAGTAAAGTAGCTATAAATTTAGATGACTAAGCAAGCAGATATATAGCCAGGAGATTTTTCAACACTGCTTGCAGTGTGTTGTGCACCTGTGATTTCCATTGACCCTATGTATGCAAATATACTGATTTTTAAAAAAACTTGTATATTTTTAACAGCTGTTGAGGAAGTGCATTTTACAGATGGGAAAACCTGTAGTAGAAGGATCTTTGGAAAGTCCTCCATTTGAGAAACCTAGCATTGAACAGGTAAACAACCAACATGTGGGTTTGGTTTGTGTGTTGGGTTTTTTTATTATTAGTTGGTGGGTTTTTTTGGGTTTTGTTTGTTTGTTTTGGGTTTGGTTTTTTTTTTGTAAACGTAAGCACTGGTTTTGAAAACATGGCATTATAGGCAGTTTGGAAATGTTTCTGCGTATTACGTAGGACAAAGTAAGAGACTGTAACAGATGTCTGCTGCTTCTCCTTTAGTGTTGGTACAATAGTTACATTATTTGACTTCTCTCATCATTCATCTTATGCTTTAATGAAACTGACTTTTTTATGGTTTTAGAAAATGAACTTAAAATACTACTTTTATGTGTGGCACTTCTAATCTTTCCTTGTTTCAAGTGATGAAAAATGCTGTTGAAGTTTTGAAATCCAATATTAAAATGACACTCATCTTCTGTAAAACAATGAAAATGTTACAATCCAATTCAGTGAGATCATAGCCTTCTCTTTCAAAGGGTACACAACAAAAACCAAAGCTGAAACCAAAGAATAACTGAGGCTTTTGTAATGCTCAATGGATAAAGAACATATGAAAGATTCAGATTTTGGTTAAGCAAGCTGCTGAGAATTCACTTTTGGCACACAAGTGGGCCCATTAGCTCACATACCTCGCTGAAACAGGAGCTCAGTGTTTTCCCATCAGTGTATGAATGGATGCTCTATTGTTAAACAGGATATTTTAAATGTGAAGACTGTTATGTGTAGTAATTATTTCCTTGCAACTCTGACTTCTTATACAAGTTAGGAAAATCAAAACACTTTATTGCTGAACTTCTGGGAACTCTTCACCTTAAGTTCTCCTTTAGTTTGAGTATAAACAAAGAATAAGTGTATGTAATCCCCATACACTCCTAGTCCTTAAAATATGCTATTAAAAAAGTTTTGTGCAAGTTAAGTTTTTATCACATTCTTAATACGGTTCAATTTGCTTAAGAAAGCAAAGCATAGAAGTGAAAGGGTAATTCTTTTTAAATTATTTTTAAATAATTTCCCCCTAAAATAGACAAATATTTTCAACTCTGTTTCTAGCAGTTCAGCAACTCTGTCACATAAAATTATTTGCTAAGCAGCACTATTATAATTAATTTATAATATATATGTATTGCAGCACTTTTAGTCACATATTTTAACTCTCTTCAGTAGTTTTTTTTTAAAGTAGACAGTATACAAAGTGCAATGAAGTGACGTACTTGTGAAATACTGGCACTTCTTGAAGAAATAGTATGATGTGTAGACACAAACTTAACCAGAAGTCCACAAGCCCTAGTTTACTATTGAAAAGTGGCTGGAGAGGTGTTTTGGTGCTACTTGGTTACAGAGGGAATAAATCGTGCAGCACAGTTATCAGCAAAATTGTGCATATGCGAGCATATAGAAGAAAGTCCTCTGGATCTTTCTCTATTCCCTGACAAAATTTTTTTATTTGAAAAGGAAGGAAAAATAAAGAATTTTCCTTCTCTCCCTTTAAGTCAGCTACTGGAGGTGGAGAGAATAAGAACATCTGGATGTACCTGCAGTTGTGTACAGGGGAACCAGCCTGTGGCTGCTGCACGAGAAGCTGAGCAAAGAGTTCATGGTCTCCAGTATTTGTTTTCTTTCCCATGTAATGCGAGTTCAGGGTTAATAAACATAAACTGAGGGGAATGTTGAAGGACACCCCTGCAAAAATTACAGCTAAATAATTAAATGTAGGTTTTTTTCTGTTTCAAGGGTGTGAATAACTTTGTGCAGTACAAATTTAGCCACTTACCATCAAAGGAAAGACAAACAATAGTGGAACTGGCTAAAATGTTTCTGAACCGCATTAACTACTGGCACCTGGAGACACCTTCTCAGCGAAGACTAAGGTCACCCAATGATGATATTGCGGGTTATAAAGTGAATTATACCAGGTAACGCTACTTTTGCTTGTTATAAGTCTTGCTTACAAATATGGCGTGTACATACTTTGGGAATACAGCAGTACCTATATGCCATAGGTGCACTTTGTGAATTTTTGCAGTCATGGAGTTTATATGAAAACCTGAGGATTTTAGTGAGACCATATCAGAGTTTCACATGCATCCTTGTGTTTTGAGAGGCATACTTTATCAGCCAAGAACAGGGAGTAGAGGTCTTGAACATCTCTATCTAACAACACTTTTGCATGTCCCATGTTTGCAAAGTTGCTCTCAGCCTTCTTAAGATAAGAGCCTCATGTAAGAGCCTTATTTCATGTACTAAAAATTCAGGCAATTTGTTATTCAACTTACCAAAAAAAAAGAGATGATAACGGTAAGCATTGTAAAGTGTCACAGTTTGAAACCAAATCATGGAAGATTTGAAAAATGAAAATAATTTCATAAGAGCTTGAATGCTAAATGGTGAATAGATATTAGTAGGTTCCTTAAAACAATAGTTCTTGTTATTACCTTTTAATACGTTGTCAGAATTCAAAGGAATAACTTAGTCACTGGGGAGAGAAGAGCTAGGATAACAAGCCGTCTGTCTTAATTTTGCTTTTCTCATAACAACAGTGCAAAGCCTTTTTCAGTTAGCGCAGCGACAGCAGTTAAGGTTCCTGCCGGTGCAGGCAGCAGTTAACGTGCCGCCTGTGAGCGCAGGCAGCAGTTAGCTGAGGGCTCTGTCAGCACACCTCTTCCCAGGAGAGGCCAGGGACACTGTTCCTGGCCGAGGATGAGCACCGCCGTCTGCCCGCTCTCCTGGTGGCCTTTCCCCTTACAAACCTCAGCTCCATGGAGGAGAACAGCAAACCCTGGTGTGAGTTGAGACTGTGGCTGGTGATACAGCAGACCGCGCTGTGTCTGTGTCTGACCGGGATGCTCTCAGATGACCTGTCACCTCAAATAATTACCTGGTGTAAGGAATGGTTACTGGGACAGTTACTGACAGTTACGGGGCTCCTAAGACCATGTTTGGTGGGTCTTTGACCCCTGTTTGTTTGTGATACAGATGTCAGATGGCCAGGATTGGTTGGAGTCAACTTTTATTAGGAATCAGTAGCTAGCATTGGCTCTGGTTGGTGACTTCTGTGGTTTATCATTTTGTCACTTGTAGTTTCTCAAACCTTCCTGCCTGCAGTCCCTAAGGTTCCCTCCAACCCAAAATACCACCTCTTTCCATCTGATATAACCTGTCTTTGTGAGCCTCTCTGCGGTGTTCGAGGCACTGCTCGGGGTGCTGAGGAAACCGCTGTGTGCCATGGGTGTATCTCATGAATTCTTGCAGTCACCAACTTGATTTGAAAAACCAGATAATTTGAGTGAAACTATATCAGAGTTCACATGCATCTTTGTGTTTTGAGGGGCGTGCTTTATCAGCCAAGAACAGGGAGTAGAGGTCAGTGAACAACTGTATCTCGCAACTCTTTTGCAACTCTTGTGTATGCAAAGATTAAGATTAAGTTTGGGAAAGCATTTTGAGACAGGCTGTACTTTGGGTCTGGATGAGAAAACCCATGGCAAGATCCAGCAGTCTGTTCCCATCCAAATCTCAACATCTTCTTTTCATTGTTGGGGCTTTCATCATGGTTGGGGTCTGATTCTGCTGAAGCTACTGATACCATTGACTGTTCACTTACATGCAGATACTGAAATCTTCTTTATAAAATTAACAGATATCGTGACCTACATAGTCAATGTACTCCTGATTTACGTCTTCAGTACTGTGATCCCTTTTCCAAGAAGAATAACATGACGTGCTATATTGTCATATGTACTTCTTAATGCAGAACTCATTATGGAGGGAGTTACTGGTAAATGAGAGTATCAAGTCAGGGTGTAAGGGGAAAAAGCCAGCTGGTGGGACATCGGGGTGGGAGTCCAGTCGGATCAGGATGGAGCTAGTTAAAAGTGTCACCCCTTTTGCCTCTCTGTGGGGAAATGTAGAAGTTTAAAGAGGGGAAAATGGGCCAGGCTAAGGGTCTTTGGAGTTGCAGGCAGAAGACGTGGGAGGCTGAATGAATGAGCTGTGGAGAGAATCCCTGACATCAACACAAATTTTATGTGATCTATGATTATTGTCTGGAACAAGAGCGCTTTGTGGAAACTACCCTGCAGAGAAGAAGAATATATGGAGACTTAAAAGTACTTGTCTGTCATTTCTTTAAAAAAACTGGGCAATATAAATGCTGCTTAACTCTGTCCAGACTTGATGTGGAACTGATTTATATGGTTATATAGCTCTCAGCTGTGTTATAAATGATGTGGGTAGTGGTTTTATTGCATTAATTCATATGTTAGATGGTGATAATTATCTGGCTTTTTTCCCCTTTACAGGTGGCTTTGTTATTGCAATGTCCCTCAGTTCTGTGACAGTCTACCTCGGTATGAAACCACCCAGGTTTTCGGTAGGACATTGCTTCGCTCCGTTTTTACTGTAATGAGACGGCAACTGCTGGAGCAGGCCAGGCAAGAAAAAGACAAGCTTCCTCAAGAGAAACGAACACTAATCCTCACCCATTTCCCAAAGTAAGGGGTCACAATGTGCCTGCATTCAAGGTTAACCAGTCATACGCAAGTTTGGCATGGAAATGGAAAAAATTACCTGCAGCTTAAAATATTTTTTCCTTTTATTCAGTAACAAGTAGATACTGCATCTTTATTTTCTGCCATAGCTTGAATAAGTGTATTTTATGTACACAGCCACTTGTCTTGCTTTGTCCTAGGGCTTTATATAAAAAGGATTATTCATCTTGCTGGGGGATTGTGCTTATTGCCTATTAGCAGGTATTGTTGGTCACTCACTTTCTTTTTCTGTAGTACTTGGAAGCAACATAGGTCCAGATCTCCAAAAACATGCTCACTTCTGCTTTTTGTGATGGAGCAGTAAAAAAGGGAGTGTTGTACTGGAGTTTCTACACACTTAAGAATTTCAGTTTAATTCAACGTTGTGATAGGGCACAAAGTAGTCACCCTGCCCCCAGAAGAGATGTGTTCATTTGACAAAGAGAGTAGACAGTATAAAGCTCCATCAGTGAATCCTAAACTCATGAATTTCTTATTGACTGCCTTTTCCAGTACTGGAATATTGATGATGATCTCTCACAATTAAAGATTAATAATTGCATATTGGGGTATGTGGGAGAATGACTTGTCTCAAAACATGCTCAACTTTGACAGTCCTTAATTTCAAACATTTTACCGATCGTTAAGGGGGTGGTGGTGACGGGATCATTCATAGTATGCTTCCTGTTAAAATAGTGTATCACTTCAAAAATATCCTTATTTTGTGAGGGTAGCTTGGCTCTCTAGCCCATATTTTAAAAGTCTGTCCCTCCTAACAACGAAGGAACCGAACCTACAGGAGACCTGGTGGCACTGATGCTATGCAAGTTACTGTCTGGGGCTAGAGTTGGGTTAGTGCTCAGCGGAATGAAAAACAACATGAGCTTTCCAAAGCTGGGTAAGAGCTTTGTAGGATTTGTTGCTCCTACTATTATTAATAGTGCCTTTTACTTTGAAGAATGTAGACTGTCATGGATCCAGGAATGTTTGTGTCCATCTGGGAATAGGAACATGATCTGGCCCTGAAATAGGTATAAAAAAGGATTTACCACCGCATTGATACAAGGAGCAGATTTGTGGAGGAAGGAGGTGTGCATGTGCCCCTATGTTTCCACTGCCTTTTCCAGCCTGGATAAGTAATTTGAACAGCATTATTATTCACTGCAGTTCCTTTTAATATTCTGCTGGGGAAAAAAAGGACAAGCACTGTTTGCTGATGATCTGTGGGAAATAGGAATAACGTTTTAAATCTTTTATGGGCTGTTCTTGTCTGAAGCATTTGTCTCCGTGCTGGCGTTACGCAGAGTGAACCCAGTGAAGGAGGTGCGGCTCGGAGCACGGAGCTGCTGCCTGGCTTCAGTGCAGGGCTCTCGGCCGCTCCTTCCTGGGCAAAGGGAGCACCCACAACTTATGTCTCTATGTGCCTGGGAAACAGTCACCAAGGGGTCTGAACGCAGAGCATCTGTGCTGCCTGTAAATGTAGCCTTGGCTAAAGTTGAATTTGTGCTTTTGCTCCATCACAGATGGTCAAGTGGCTGTTACAAACTTTTCAGCTGTTATCAGCTGTATAGATCACCTCACGTTGCTGTGCTTAGGTATAAACGTCCCATATAGAAAATACAAGAGTAGGACTTGATCCTGAAAATCCTTATCCTGTTCAAGAAAGTCTTACTCAACAGACCTCTTGGTTTCAGCTAGACAGTTTCTATACATATAGATGACTCTAGAGAGTAAAAAATGTGGCGTGTCAACTTCTGGTCTGAAAACCCCTTTTGTGCAACATAGGATATGCAGCTATCTTGCTGCTGAAAGGGAATTGATGTATTAGCCCTGTGAAGGCAAGTGTGCTGGATAGCCTGATCTGTGGAATTTCTCTCACAGATAATAATGCCGAGAGAGGTTTAAAGTCATGGTGCTTCTGTAAGTGTACCAAAGTAAGATTAAAAATACTGTTATGAAAGCACAAACACGCAATTAAATGTTACAGTAGCACACTTAAAGGAATGAAAATATCTTCCTAAGAGCATTGTTAATAACTAACACTGGGATTTTATAAATCTGTAAGAGGCAAGAAGCAAATGCCTCTGCAAAACGCCAGTATATCAAAATAGACATATTTTGTTGTCATTGTATAACACTGAGTACCTTGGCATCTGTCAACTCATAGCCTTCTTATGAGTGCACAGTTTTGTTCTATAAAAGTAGTTTGTAACTGTTTTTTTCTGCATTTGCAAATTAGATAAATATTGTTTATAATCAAAGATAAATTTTCATAGGCGAAAGCACTCTACTGAATTAAGATACTTAATATCTACTCTAGCTTGTGATTTTGTATGTGTGTATGTATTTTTTTAAAAAGGAATCGTCCAACAGCATTTTCTTACTGAATCATTACATATTTTTTAAATTTAACAATGTTGCAAATGCTTATTCTGAAAATGAACCTGGTTTGGATGATCCTATTAAGTTAATATTTCACTTGGGTTTGTGCCTAGGTTTCTGTCAATGCTGGAAGAAGAAGTGTACAGCCAGAATTCTCCCATTTGGGATCAAGATTTCATGGTGTCTAGTTCCCGAACTGGCCAGCTGGGAATCCAGACAGGTAATTTGCATTTAGTTACGGGTAAGGGAGCACCTGAATATGAAGATGAACTTGTACAAGTGATGAATTCTAAGCAACGAGACTTAGATAATGCAGCTTTATAAATAGCAGGCTATACCAAAATCAGTCCGCCTCAGGTAAGCACAGGGTGTCTGACTGGTGCTTCCTCATATAAAGATCCCATTTTGACAATAAAATCCAGCTAATTGAAGGTGCCAGTGGAGCATTCAATTCATGACTGAGTGTTCAAGTGACACAAGTGCACTCAATGTGGGCAAGTGAGAAAGGTCAGTGGGTAAATGGCCGTGGTGGGTCACCTGCTGGACAGTGGTCCGCTCGCATGAGGACCCATGCCGGTCCTCTGACTCCCTGGCAGCAGGGATGTAGGGACCTCGCAGTGGGGAAGTAGGGACTTTCCACATTGTCGTGGTTTAACCCCAGCCAGCAACTAAGCACCGTGCAGCCACGCGCTCACTCCCCTCTGGTGGGATGGGGGAGAGAAAAGGAAGAGTAAAAATGAGAAAAGGTAAAGCAAAAGCCGTGCACACAAGCAAAGCAAAACAAGGAATTCATCCACCACTTCCCATGGGCAGGCAGGTGTTCAGCCTTCTCCAGGAAAGCAGGGCTCCATCATCCGTAACGGTGACTTGGGAAGACAAGTGTCATCACTCCAAATGTCCCTCCTTCCTTCCTCTTCCCCCAGCTTTATATGCTGAGCATGACGTCATATGGTATGGAATATCCCTTTGGTCAGCTGGGGTCAGCTGTCCTGTCTGTGTCCCCTCCTAACTTCTTGTGCACCCCCAGCCTACTTGCTGGTGGGGTGGTGTGAGAAGCAGAAAAGGCCTTGATGCTGTGTAAGCGCTGCTCAGCAGTGACTAAATCACCCCTGTATTATCAACACTGCTTCCAGCACAAATCCAAAGCACAGCTCCATACCAGCTAAGATGAAGGAAATTAACCTATCCCAGCCAAAACAGATGTCCCACACGCCAGACGTCCCATTGCCTTTGCATACATGCCTTTGGTTTTCTTGGGGTTTTTTAATAGCTTTTCCTTGCTTTGTTTCTTATTCATGTGTCTCATCTGCTATTCTGCAGCTTTATTCACTTCTCCTCAGTTAGGATACTGAGGTGTAAGTCATCTCTAAAATTGCAGAGACACGTTGATGATGGTTTTCTTTCACTTTCCGCTTCTCCTCTGCTTTCCTGCTCAAAAGTATTTAAAATCCTGTTATGCAGGTCAGGGATTGACTTAAATTTTCAGGTATTTAATTCAATATTTTTGAAAAGTCAGAATTTTGAAACAATTGTTGATTATCAGTTGACAAAACCATCATGTTAGCACTATATCTGATAGTAAATTTCCTAGAGTAGTAGGGAAATTCCACGGTGACAGATACATGCTTTTTTTCTGAGAAATTCCTGGTCTCCACTATGAACTGGTGAATTATGCTGTAGGTACAAGTTCGTTGCAACTCTAACATCACGTTGGTCTCCGAGTTCGTTCTATCACGTACGTTTCCGCAGCACTTCGTTTTAATGTGCACCTCTTAAGCACTGGACTCTTGGCATGAGTATGGCACAAAAGAGCTGTTGCTGGTGATGACACCAGGATAAAGGCACGCAGAGAGAAAGACTGCACATGTCCAGACTACGAGCTGTCACCTCAACCCCCCACCCGCCTGCCAAAAATCCTGACAGAAATGAAAACTGGATGATTTGGGATGAAGGGTTTTGGGGTTTTTTGGGGGTGTGGGGTTTTTTTATTTATTTATTTATAATATTTGAGAGATATTAGTCTGTGGCCTTTTAAAATAATAGTTTCATCCTCTTAACTGGTGTAGCAACTTCTCTCTTTATGGAGTTTGATTTGTCCAGCCAGTCTTAGAACATTGTTAAAATGGACAGCTGAAGCTGAATGATGAGATTTTGCTTTTCAATAGACCCCTACAAAAAGCCTTTTCATGAAGCTGAATGCCAGCAGGCTTGGCAGGTATGTGAAGGAAGCTTGTTTTCTTGGCTTGTGCTCAGCACTGCAGAATAATAAAGCCTGATATTTGCAATCTCTGTCATCCAGCAGTAATACAGTCCCTCCTTAGGTAGAAGTTTAGAAAAATATGTTGAGATAAAGCTTTAATGTCTCTGCTTGTGTCATCGCTGTGTTGCACAACGTTAGCTGTTACTTCTGAAATGGTGGGTGTGAAGTTGGGTCTGTCATCGTGACAGTCCTTCAGTCAGCACCGTAATGGGTTCCATGTCCTGATTTTTTTGTGTTTGCCTTTTATGCCATTGCAGTTATCAGTCCTCCTCCTGTTGCGAGATCTGTTTCATACAGTGCAAGTCCTTCGTCTCTGGAGCAACCCAGCAGTGGGAATATGAGTCCTGCTTGCAAAGTTTCTTCAACCCTTGACCCAAACCTAGGTAACGAAGAGGGACACTTGCTTTTTGGTTTCTGTTGACGTCACCAGTAGTTGCAGTATATGGTGACCATTGCCTTCACTCTGCAATAGCGACCTTGAGATGTTTTTTCTAAAAGACGTTCACACAGATACATCTTCTCCACTATGGTAATGTTTAACTAGCAGAAGGCAACTGTATTTGAAAAAAAAAAAATTGGTTTGTTTAAATTAAACTAAAATAGGGAAAGGTCTGCTGGTGTCAGAGGTCATTGAAAAACACTTTACTTGGCGTACATGTATTATGAGCCATGAAAAAAGGTTTCATTTAAATAAAGACAGAGCAGAAGGGGCCATGGCATTTTTTTTTTTTTTAAATCTTTCAAGGCACTGAAATTACACACATTTGAGCAATAAAGAAAAGCAGAAACACACCAACCAAGTTAAATTTAAAACTCGAATGAGGTCAGGTTAAAAAAAAAGTTTTTTGGAAAAAAAAGTTGTTGAATGCATAAATTCTCCTAATAAATCCTTTTTCAAACACCTCAGGATTAATGAGCCTGTCGAGAGTTTGTAGGTCAGAGAGATGATCACAAGTTTATGTAAAGTAAGTTCTCAAGGAAGCAGAAACAGCTAAATGAATTCTTAGCCTCAGTGTTTGCTACAGAGGAACTTAAGGCAGCTCCTAAACTCTGCAGCTTTCTTTGAGGGACAAGTTGGGAAATGGTCTTAGAAGTGGGAACAAGTAGGAAATTATTTTTTTTTTAATTACAGATCAGCAAAATGAGTAGTAAGTAGTCACTAGAAAATTTGGGGTTTTTTTAGAGTTTGAAAAGCAATATGGAATTTACAAACTAATTATTAAGTTGTGCAGCTGAGCTGTCATTAGAATTGCCCTTGGCACTACAAAATCGAAATATCACAAATGCAAAACTAGTTTTTAAAGGACTTGTAAGAGAATTCAGGAAACTCTCAATTGTAAGTCTCCTATTTCAGACAATTAGAAGAAACAATAATAAACTGATTAAGAATGGAATGAATAAATGTGTGAGTAATGTGATACACGAAAATTCAGTGTGCCTTTTGTAGAACTCGCGACTTGTACATATCTGTGAAGGAGTTGGTGAGCATTTGGAAAGGGCTTTGTGTACCTGGATTTCCAGAAAGCTTTTAACAAATTGCTTCAAAAAATTCTGGTTTAAAGCAAGAAATGAATCCCTTGGGAAATAAGAAGGAAAGTTCATTCATGTATGAATAACTGTTTAGAAAGTAAGAAATAAAGAATAGGAATAAAAGTTTCCACAGTGAAGGGAGGTTAACAATTAACATTCTATTGTTAAGGAAACAATTGTACTGCCTGAAAGTCTGAAAAGGGGAATGAACAGTTTGATCCTCATATATTTAGAGCCCTATAGCTGTGGGAAAACAATCTGTACCATATGTGTAAAACAGTGGGCCCTAAACTACCTGGTTGTTTCAGAAAGAAGATCTTGAAGCTATTTGGATTTTCCTTAGGGGAAGAAGAAAACAACAAACAAAACTGAACTAACTTATCTCACTGCTAAGTGCTGATTACAAAGGCAAAATTCTGCATCCTGGCTCTGACCTTTAGCAGTTCTCTAGGGAAAAAACACAGGAACAAGTTAACCATGGAGTGATGTTCCTGTTTGTATGCTTTTCTAGTATTTGGCAGTTTGCTGCTTGGATAAATCCTGAGCTAGCAGCTGGCTCTATCAGTATTATTGTACCTCTGCTAGTCCTTGGTGAACTTTTCTTTCATGAATTTGTTTGACTAGTTGCTTTTGCTATATTACATGTTGGTCTGCAGTTAGCAGGGCAGTTAATTATTAACATGGTATATTTTGATTTGGAAACTTTATATGGGTTTTCTAAGTCAAATATGTGTGACGTGCTGCTTGGTTTACAAAAAGGGTGAAAGAAGTCTATAATGGATACTTAATTCCAGTGAATCCCAAAATGAGATTTCATGTTATCCAGAAGTATGCACTATAATTTGTGTATTGAGCACTGACCTTCCAAGACAGCAGCGCAGAGGTTCGCTGCAGAGGATGTTGAAGCAAAAAGGAAAAGCAAATAGTTTCACTGTGAATTTACAGAAGTATAGGAGGAGAGGTATATTCATCCTGCTTCATGCTAATATACCAGTGCAAAGACAAAATCGCAGCAGTGATTGTTCGGATTTAATTTATTTCTCTTTTTCACTTTCTATAGGGATTAAAACCCCAACCCAAAACTTGGCATACATTCTAAAGAATATAACAGAAGTGCTAGACTTCATAGTGCTAGTCTGTGACAATTTGGTTGTTTCTAATTTATCCTGCGGTTTTTGTGGGGTTTTTTTATAGGGGAAAAGAGAAAAAATAACGAACCCTATTCTCTAGAGGATTCCAAAAGACCAAGGGTTGTAGGAGATATTCCTATTGAGTTAATCAATGAAGTAATGTCAACAATTACAGATCCTGGAGCGATGCTTGGGCCAGAGGTGAGAAATATATAGACTTGGTGTTGCAAATGGTCTGTTTTTAATAAATGTTCCACATGGATAGAGTATGATAAGCTAAGAGTCCACAAAACTTACCGTGCTGTCAATAAGAAAAATAGAGAGTATGATTAGGTGAGCAAAAAACATTGATGAAAGGTGTCATTAACATGAAGAATAGTTATACAATTTTTTAAATGCATTGTCTACTGTTTGCAAAGAAACTTGGAAACTAGTGATAGTAAAAAAGTAGATCCCAGGTTATTTTGCAAGGTACTTTTGTTACTGAGCAGTTCCAGAGTATGCTTTTTATGGTTAGTCATAGATGTAGCTCATAAGGCAAGGTAAAGCAGGTTCAAATATTGCAGCAGAATGAAAGATCCAAAGCTAAAACCTCTGTCTAGTGCAGAAAGGCTGATCTAAACTGTTATTTGCTCTGACTTCCACAGTTGCTCTTTTTTTCTGTTGGGAGAGAAAAACAAACAATTGCAGAATTGTGCCATGTACAGAATTACACCCTCTTTTTTTTTTTTTGGCTGGCTTTTCCTCCTTCTGTTCCCTTCGCCAGGCTATGTTTTGCCAGCAGCTCTTGCTTGCCAAGCTTTAGCTAGAGACTGCTGAAGATTTGGAACCACCTACATTTCTTCCTCAAACTGTATACGGTGACTGATGGCTCTGCATATTACAAATGCTGTGCCAGTCTGGCTGTTGGGGCTGGCAGTGATTAGAAACCCAGCAGCCAAACTTTGCTCTAAAAAATAAACAGTATGTGCATGCAGAGATGTTTTGGCATTGTAAAATGATCTTGGGGAAAAAAAAAAGTTAAATAAATTGTCTGTATTCATTTCATCTCCATTCAAATATATGGATGCAATTGCTAGATACGTAACAGCAAAGTCAGTAGGAATTAAAGTGTTCTTTTTAGGCTCTTATGATAGTGGTATAGATAGTGGAAAGCACTACTAAAATAAAAATATGACTTTGCCTGCACTGCCATTAAAATACGTGATTTGCAGTATGCGTAGGTGAATCTACTGCTCTTGTCCAAGCTGGCTAGACTAAAGAAAATATGAAGACTTAGTGGCATAGGCTTCAGCTGGATGAGTACTGTCCCCCGAGAGATGTTGGAACTTGTTGAGTCATAACCATCACTGTTGTTACCTAATCTTTACCAAAAGAAGTTTGAGTAAGTCTGTGTATACTGTAGTGTAGACTTATATCCAGCTTATTTGACAGTGTCACTTGTGCTAAAAAAAAAGATAATCATTGTCAGCTTTATTTTTGTAAAAAGATGGCTTGGAAAAAAGAAGGGGGTTTGTTTGTTTGTTCCTTAAGAGGATTTGAAATCTCTAAAATGTGCTTTTGTTCCTCTTTTGCGCGGCACAGACCAACTTCCTCTCAGCGCACTCGGCCCGGGACGAGGCGGCGAGGCTGGAGGAGCGCAGGGGGGTGATCGAATTCCACGTGGTCGGTAACTCCCTGAACCAGAAGCCCAACAAGAAGATCATGATGTGGCTGGTTGGTTTGCAGAACGTGTTCTCCCATCAGCTTCCTCGAATGCCGAAGGAGTACATCACGCGCTTGGTCTTTGATCCGTGAGTGCTGCTGGAGAGGGGTTTGGTGAGACTGAGAGAGCCTGGTGCTGGTTGCTGGCAGCGGTGCAGGAAGGGGCCAGCCAAGGTGGTGTGGAGGGCAGCTCTGCCCTTTTCCCACCTTTTCAAGCCCCTGTAACTCCTGGCCAATCTCATTGGATTGTACCTAAATACTATCTCGGTGGCTGTATTAATGATATGTGGCTTCTTCTTGTGGGACGTGGGCCTGCAGGGAAGGCTTCTGCATATCTTGTGCTTTCAAATCTTAGAACTGAAAGTCAGAAAGTCATTATGGTGCTTATTAGTGGTTTCCAGGCCCATACTAACTTGCAGGCTGCTTCATCCTCTGTCTGTGGAGATCGTGAACCAAATGGTAGCAGAGACTGAGGTTTTTCAATGAGAAGATCCTGTGGGATTTATGAAGAAAGCATTTGGGTTTAAGCTGAAGGAAGGTCGATTTAGATTAGATGTTAGAAATAAATTGTTTACTGTGAGAGTGGTGAGGCACTGGAACAGGTTGCCCAGAGAGGTTGTGGAGGCCCCATCCCTGGAAGCGTTTAAGACCAGGTTGGATGAGGCTTTGGGCAACCTGGTCTAGTGGAGGGTGTCCCTGCCCATGGCAGGGGGGTTGGAACTAGATGATCTTTAAGGTCCCTTCCAACCCAAACCATTCTATGATTGTATGATTCTATGGTTTAAGTCAGCACGGGAGAAATCACTCCTCACCTAAGCACATTGCTTTTCTCTTCAGTGCAAGTTTCCTTGCTTTATCAGTGCAAGTCTTGCTTCGGGTGCAACTCGACACCACAGGCACTTGAAAAAAGAGACATTGGCTGTAGCAGCATCCACAGGTTGCACATGGTCCTCCACCTAACCTAGTGTCCGGATGGAGTTCTGCCTCAGCTGCTCAAGGACAAGGGGAGGTTCTCCTCAGAAGTGTCCACTTTTCCACCATTGTGTTTCCTGCAGAACCTGCTTCCTCTTGACCAGTGTGTTCTCCCAAGATTTGTGCCTCTGAATGATCCAGGTGCAAGGATGGCCTAGGGGTCTGCTGTACTGACCACAGCACTTCACAGTGGAGGATGCATATGGGCTCATTGCTGTGTGTCAGCAGAGACCTCAAGTAGCCCTGACTAAGCTGTCTGCAGCCTAGTTTGTGGAAGAGCCTTCCTCCACCGCTGATGAGATCAGCCTCTGTCTTTGTGCCCAGTATTGTAGCTGCAGCAGTTATGAAAACGTTTCTGGAACCATTTCCTTTGCTTTTAGGCTCGCTAGCATTTCCCCTCAGCAATGCTGCTGCTGCTGGGTCCATGTGGTCCCTGAAGCATGAACAGCCCAGTGCTGGGGACTCTTGGACAGGACTTCGGTCTTCAGGCACAGGAGACTGATCTTGGGGCCTTCTCCTGGGTTCTTCAGAGGTGAACAGCACTGTTCTTGTGAGGGCCAGCACCAGTGGAGACTCTTTTACCTCTCCTATGTTGGGGTAAGAGCTGCTCAGTGGGGAGAGAGAGGCAGCACTGGGATCTTGTCTGAGCTTAGGAGCTCAAGCAGAGGCTACTGGTTGAAGAAGCCAGGTTCCTTCATAACCGAACATCAAACACCTTTTTTGGAAGGGGCTCACTTTTGGCACCAACCTCACGCCCCCTCCACCTCCCCCCCTACCTCCCTTCAAGTTATCTTCTGTAAATTTACTGCATTGTTTATACAATTTATGTGATACTGTATATCGAATAATCTAGAGAACAGGTGCAGTGTAAATCTTTCCAGACCTTGAGGATGACACTAAAATTCTTAATCCTTGACGCAAGAGTTCAGATTGCACCTTGTTATATCTTTCCTGGCAGTCAGTGTAAATGCAATAGAAATGGTTATTTGTTCTGGTCTTGATTCCACTAACTACAAAATATCACCTACTGCTTCATCAGCTGCATTTGAAACTGATAGCATAGCTATAGAAAGTGCATGCAAGGAAACAGGAATCCCTTAAAAAGAACTTACTGTCCTGTAACTCCATTAATTTCTAATTTAGTCAGGGTAACATCGTCCTGAGAACTGCGCAATGGCATAACTGTTAGCAATAGAATCAATGACAGTAATACAACTCTTATTTATTGGGCATTACCCTAGTATCCAGGAGTGCTTGGCAAGGCTGGGAGCTTGCTGCGTGAATGATGAATTTTATGGTAAATTCAATGCATGATGTTAAAATAGCAACTCTTCTGTAGATACAAGCAACTAACTTAACAGAGGCATATACAATTGCATTAGCATCATGGAAAGAAGTGAATCAAGTTTCTGAAAAAGGAAGGTAATGGCACATTATGTACTATGTACATGAATTAAAGTGACTTATTTTTGTCTACTCAGGAAACACAAGACCCTTGCATTAATAAAAGATGGTCGTGTTATTGGTGGTATCTGCTTCCGGATGTTCCCCTCCCAGGGCTTTACGGAGATTGTTTTCTGTGCTGTGACTTCCAATGAGCAAGTCAAGGTAAAAATAATTCTCTACTGGTGTTCGTTAAATGTATTTGAGTCCCATTTACCACTGCATATGCTCCTAATGTTGTTCGTCACATTGAATATATTGCAGAGTTGCCGAACAGAATTTAAAAGATACCGTGATTCAGAATATACTACACAAAAGCTAATGTGCAGATTTAGAATCATCAGCATAACAGTAGGATTAACAACAACAATAATAATGATAATAATGATGATGATAATTTTCCTCAACACAAAAATAGTGGTCAGTTTTCTCCCATTCTTGGACTATTCACTCCTCTGTCTTCAGCAATAGCAGTGTAACATCTCATGGTTAACTGAAATTAGTATTGCTTGTGTGGAACAGTAATTTGTGTTCAATCACATTGTGATTTTACATGATTTGAATGAAAATGAGATATATCCAGAATGCAGCTATAGTTTTTCATCTCAGAATAAGCACATGCACAATTCTACAAGCTCTTTTTTGAGTTCATTTCACAAAACGTTCTCAGTGTTGAGGATGACCTGCTACGCTGGGAGAATGTAGAGCACTTTGAATACAGGAGGTTCCTCCTGCTTTCCCAGGGACTACAGGTAGATCTATGACTGTTTGATTCAAGATTTTGCCTTTAGATGGTGCTGTAGCTTTATGTTTTTCAGCTGAAACTCAGAGCTGAGATGTGGATTAATTTAGTTTGTAGCAGTTGAACATGCAGAAATTCTGTGCCCTACTTTGAAGGGAAGAGCTCCGAGTGTGGAAGGGTAACATGGTGGGATTGAAAGCCTGTGACAATTTTTAGTACTTGTGTTATATTTGATTTTATTTAACTCTGGTGGTAAAGAGCAGTGGCCTGTCATAAAGGTATCCAGGTGTTTTAGCAAATGCGAACAATAACGGAATGTGCTTTAGGTATGTCTATTCTAAGCTCGGATAATTCATAAAAGGTGTTTTCATCCTACTGAAACAACCAACTGCACTATGCAAGCTGCCAGCGGTGTGTTGCGAGTCTCTAGGAATAACCTTTCAGAATATAATAGGGCAAATAAATCTAACCTCTCAGAGAGCTTGCCGAGGTTGCATATGCACACATAATGCATAATTTCTGCTGTTACCCTCTGGGTGCCTCGCTGTATGTGAAGATCTCTTAACTATTTCTGAAAATTGGCCTTCCCACATTCCTATACGAGTAATGTGACCCCTACCAGCAGGGAACTGAGAAAAACTAAATATTGACACATGAGTGAACTGCCTACTCTTGGGAAGAATGAATTCCTATTTTAATTCAATTTGAGGCTGGAGTAAGAAATATAGGTACTGTTTTCCTTTATATATGATATTTAAAAGTTGGATTGTTTTTGACATTGTTTGATCCCATGTTACAAAATTATTTTAAATTTTACTGTACATGGCTTAGTTTCCTTTTAGGATTGTTAGACTTTGGCAAGTGTGTGTGAGAATGAATAAATCCTGTGAAGGTTATAAAAATAATAGGTCAGCAGAAAATGTTTGAAGTAATTGTCATCATAATTGCTGGAAGTTCTTTGAGATACAAAGGTGGAGATTAGATGCCTTAGAATTACTGGAATGAATTGCAATGGTTCAGGTGTAAATAAAATGTCAGTCTCCCATAGGCTGTGCCTTTCACCCTGCTGATGAGAAGGGAAGTGAAGAGCTTGGCTAGCTCATGTACTGCTAGCTTGCATTTAAGGAAAAAAAATTTCATTCAAATTTTTGGTTCAAGGTTTTTGTCCTCTTCAAAGAATTTGAGAACTCAAATTTTCAATGAGAAAATTCATTATCTTGAACACATCTGAATTCTAAGAAATGCTGTGCCACTTAACGTTTTGTCAGTTGTCAAACCACTTCTTTGCATTTGATGCCATGCATGATGTGTGCCATTTTAACAAGTGAACATACGGCTTTAAGAGCTTCCTCAATTTCAGAAGTATTTATTTTTACACACATGAGGTCTTAATGTCTAATATGAGGTCTGAATACCAGATGCCTCAGACACTAGCTGGAAAGGAACAACTAATGCACAAATTCTGTACCTAGATTGGTAGGATTTTAAAGAAAATCTGTCACTACTAAATTTTTTTGTATTGAGCTTCAAGAGTAACCTAACTTGCTTTCATCTGGCTATTTTCATGTTTGAGGCTATTAAATTGTGAATTAAATCAGAACTATATATTTTCTATTTTATCTTTCTGGCTTATGTACATAAGTAAAAATTTCCCCAGTTTTCAAGAACAGAGTACCCAAAAACTTTGTGATATTTCTGTAAGCGTCCAGTTGTTTCCCATGATGTTAAAATTGGAACATATACAGGTACAACACATTATTATGGGCTTTCCTGTCTATTTTACATTTCTTCATCTCACAGCAGAAGACGACGACTATAGCTTACTTGAAAATGTGACTAAATAGTACCTTTTGTTTACTCTGGGGTTGAATGAAAATGGAAATTACTCCTGTGTGCAGTCAGAAAGCATAGGTATTTATTTGATTGCGGACTCAATATTTTTCTGCTGCTTATTATGGTAATAACTGTTTTGCTATTCCTTTTTATGCCCTATGATAAGTTCAGATTATAAATCCTTTGAGGCAGAGGCTGTTGCTACTGCCAGTGCACAGAACAAAGTAAAACGGAGATCTCATCTCAGAATGGGTTCTTCTAGAAGGAGTAATTTTGGTATTTCTGTTGCTTTGCAATTTTTAAGTGATAAGGCTAGTTATTATTACAATATAAGTACCTTTGCTATTGGTGAAATATGTGACTATTAATAGTTGATATCTAACTTGAAAAAAAAATGTGTGCACCTTGAATTACAACTTTCAGGACAATGTATCTCTTTAGTCACCCTTTAGCCCTAGAGACAGTCTAGGTTTTGGTCTCTTTCAGGTTAAAAGTGAATCAGACGCTAGAAGCTGTGATATTTTTTGTTCCCTGTTGGGTCACAAAGATACCCTTACAAGGCTGAAAACAGTTTGATCTTCAGTATACCTCACAAAGTTAGTTATGAGAAAATCTTTAAAACAGGACCTAGAGGAAAGACTGCATTTTGAAAAACAGTCTCTAATAACCTTCAGTCCACAGTTTCTAATATGTGCAGCCTCCAAAGGCTTTGTAATGGCTTTTCCCTCATGCATTTCACACAGGGTTATGGGACTCACCTAATGAACCATCTGAAGGAGTACCACATCAAACACAACATTCTCAACTTTCTCACGTATGCAGATGAATACGCTATCGGCTACTTCAAAAAACAAGTAAGTCAATGTTAGAAATTACTCGGTGCAAGAAGTTAACATCTAGGAGTGATGTACTAAACAACTAGACATGACAAAGTAGTTGGATAAAATGCATAGTGCAATTTTATGTGTACGCTTTTTATCTACAAAATGTGTTCCGTGTTCATCTTGTGTAATGAAATTGGCTTATAATGCATTTTACTTGATGGGATCATCTGAATATAGGTATATGGTATACTCTATAATTTGTCGAGTCTAAAACCCAGTAAAATATGGGTTGGTTGCTTCATTCATTCAGTTCCTCCACTGATTCTATAAGAAGTCTAGAGAAGGACCAGATGTACCTGCGGCAGACTAGAATTTACCTAACCTGTGCTCACAGCTCCTCCTGGTTTGAAGCATGTGGTTCAAATTCAGGAAAGAATTGATAGATTAAACAGGTGTCAACTATTTGGTCAGATGATAGAGTGAAGATGGTGTCAGGCTATTCTCAGAGATATATGACAATAGGACTAGAGACAACGGACACAAGTTGGATCATGGGAAATTGCAACTAGATAGAAGGATTTTTTTAATTTTTTTTTTCCTGTCCTAAGCATGGTGAAGTACTAGAAAGTGTTGCCCAGAGAGGTTGTGGAACCTCTGCCTTTGGCAGTCTTCAAGACTGGACAACCTTGACCAACCAGATCTGATGAGAACCTGCGGTGAACACTATGGGGCTAGATGACCTCCTTAAGTCCCTTCCAACCATGGCGGTTCTGTAATTCTGTATATGAAACTGATACAATTTGCTCTTCACCTACTCAAAATGAATAAAAGCTGGGCTTGTGATGCTGCTATCAGATCTGTGCAGACAGACCGTTTTCATGTCTAAAATGTCCTCTCCCCAATTTGAAGGCGCTCAGTCTCCATGTAAGTCTGAAGCCTTTGATGGTAAATTTTGTGTGGTTGGGTTCATAATTTTTACTGAGGTTTCAATAGACACCACTGTAACAGAAGAATAAAATGCAGCCAAAGCAAGAGTCCTACACTGCTTTTTATTGTCTTGGTTAATTCTCTGTGTGCTTGTTTTTCAATTAACTTTTGAACTATATGAAGACTGTATTATAACTTTTGAACTTTTAATAGGATTAGTTATTTTATTTTTTCACTTGAAATACGAAAGTAAAAAAAAAATCATTGTTTTTTCTGGCTATAAAATTACTGTCATCTCATGGACTTCAACAGCAACTTTCTTTGACTAATGACTACAGGACTGGCATCCTTTAATATTAAAATAGCAAATTTTTGAACAAATCCAGGAAATTTGTCCACAGTAAAAATCTTTTCCTCTATCTCTTTATATCCATTATCTCCATTCTTTTCCTAGACATATAAGCAATTAACTATTCTTGTATCAGGTGACTCCCATGAGAAGGTGTTTGTAACACTATGAACCATGGTCTGTAACTCTTTGCATTGTATTGTCTGTATTTTAACATTATGATGAATGTGGTTCTAAATTATCATAGCATTTCAGTTAAAACAAATGTAGAAGGAAAATGGCATCATGACAACTTGAGGTTTTTTTTTTTCTTCAGGGTTTCTCCAAAGACATAAAAGTACCAAAAGCAAAATACGTTGGCTACATCAAGGATTATGAGGGTGCTACATTAATGGGCTGTGAATTAAATCCAAGGATCCCTTACACGGAATTTTCTGTCATCATTAAAAAGCAAAAAGAGGTAAAGGCTGAAATGAAACTTTGAATGTTGTAATCTATTCTGATGTTTAGAAACAATTCAGTCAGTGCCAGGTTGGGTCTCTTGTTTGCTTTAGTGCTTAAAACATTGGAATGTATACTTTAAGTAGTTAGTTAGAATAATTCTTTCATTCAAGTCCCAGTGCCATAACTTTGCAGTTGAAGCATTAAATTCTACCTTACTAACTTTATGATAACAGAAGTATTGAAAAAAATTAATCTAAATTTTGTTATAGATGATAACTAAGAAAAATCTTGTGACGTTGATTTGTTCTGCAGCTTTGTCAATTTTTAAAAACCCCCCCCCCGCCAATGACAGTAGTGTTCATTAGAGTGACTTTTGAATGGAGTGTTTCTACTGCATGTCCTCTATTTACTTGAAAGAAAGAGCATTATTATTATTATTATTATTATTATTTATTA